TATCTTAGCGTCATGGTTTCAATCTTTCCTCTGTGTGTGCTGAATTCTAGGAATCACCTGAGGGTTCGGCGTGAAAGCCTCCCTTAACTTCCAATAATTCCCAGCAAGACTGCTCTTTCTTTCCACTTTTTTCTTTCAGCCACTAAACCAGCAATCTTACATGCAGTGAGAATACTTTAGGCACTGGATGAGCCCAAAGCCAAGGACAGTAAGTGACTCCCATGGCAGTGGAGCAGTGAATATGTCCAATGTACAGAGCCCTAGTTTTTAAAATAGATTCAGTACCATGGACAGCTTCTTTCTTGGCAGGTGGGTGTAGTTTTATGTCCAGGCATTCAGAACTGCAGCTATCAAAATAACATGTGGGGTTATTTTGAGATATTATGTCTACATTTGTTATTGTACTGAGGCATCGAATGTTTGCCTTTTTTGTTTGTTGGAATCCACCCAGAGTCCCCTTGGAGAGATAGGATGGAATATAAATAAAGTATTATTATTATTATTATTATTATTATTATTATTATTCACATCAAGAATTGTCCTGTGCATCTACCTATATATATGTAAGAAAAGAAATTGTTTGTCCACATAGAGTATACATATATGTCAATGCGAGGCCTTCTAGACAGCACCAGCTTCTACAATCTGTCCTTTGTTGCATTTTGGTAACATATGCATATACATGCATCTCTTATGCTGATCATAAAACATTGTAGGATTAATTAAAATAATGGCAAGACCCTCTCTTCCCTGTTAAGCCTAGAAAGAGGAGTGCTTATCCTGTCTCAGCTGGAAATGGCTTTGTCCTTGACACTGATGGAGCAACAAAACAATAAGGATGCAATATTGGCTTAAGAAGATTGTCATCTGCTAATGACATTCCAATAGCTAAAAGCAGATGTACTTAAGGCTCAGCGTCATGACAAGGAGAGGAGAGTCACTGTGAGCACTCAATAAATAATTCATACTAATTGCAAGGCAGTTTGTTTTCAAAAGCCCTGTTTGTTAAACCTCACTTTTTTTGATTCAAATATGAAGAGTTATATTAAAGAGACAGAAGTAAAAACAGAGTCATTTCCCATTTTAACTCCATATCAACTCTATGTGTCCCCACACTGTATCCCCTGTTGCCCTTCTTGTGTGTCCCTGTGATCGTCTGGAACTGCAGCTGTCAGGTATTGATCATTCTGCATGCAAGAAGGTCAGCCAAGCTCGCACCTGAGATTTCAAGGTGTCTGAGTATAATGGCAATTTGACTGTGAAACAAGATGCACAGATATCTAACAGGAGGGCAGTTTGTCTTTCACAAAAGGTTTGTGATAGATCTGTGTTGCTAAGGGAGCAAACACTGAGGCAAGGTGACATCGAACTCTCACAGCCAGTCTGCTGCCTTTCCCAGTTACTATTATGTGAACATAACACAGGATGAAGATACAGTAGTTCCATGTATTTATTATGTGAAGGGGATATTCTAGGACCTTCACATAATATGTCATTTATGTAATATCTGGATATCTTGTCCCTGATGGGCATGCTGCCGAAAACTGAAAATACTGTCCAGTACACAATCGAATATATCTTCTTTCTCCTCATTCGTCTGCTGTCCTGAGTATTTGAAAGGAAGACTTACATTTTGGGGGACAGTCTGCCAAGGTGCGCAGTTCCCTCCTTGGGTGCCAAATCTGGCAAAAAGCCTGGCTTCCATTGCTTCTCTCCACAGAGGAAAGGGATGGACTGTTTCCTTGGCAGAGAGAGGTGTATGGGTCTGCTCAGTTGGTTTTCCCAATGGATCTGGCACGCAGGGAGTTTTTGGGAGCTCAACATGGGAGCCTGGTCCCCCAATACCTTCAACTTTTTTTCATGAAAGAGCTTTCCATGTATAACTAAAACCACATAAAGGCAAACTTGCATAATTCATGGGCCTTATGCATTTGTAGTATACTTAAAGACAGCATGGGCTTCATAGGGATGCAAAAGTGAGGCAATGCAATCAGTTCTATAAAAGATGACAAGCTTTGTGTCTTTAACAGAAGATTTGTAGCTCTTAAACACCAGCTGAACAAGCAGCAGTTAGGAGCTCATAACCAATCTCCATGTTTAGGAGGAACATCTGAAGAAGTAGAATTGTTCCTCTGAGAAAACAATAAGGTATTCTCTTCCTTAGAAAAGACAGACATGCCATTTAATTCTCAATCCATTGGCCAACTGGTGTGTTGGACTACAACTCCCATAACTCACAGCATGGTAAGTGAATGCCCTGGGAATGCTAGAAGTTGTAATTTGGCACACTGGGAGTTTGTTGGGTTGACAAAGTCTGATTCTACAGCCATATAATTCTTCCATTTAGTGGTTGTTTCCCAGCATGTCCTTTGTAACTCACAGAATTTGGGACTTACAGGAAGAGTGTTTTTTCTTTGTACGTGTCATTATTCAGGCCTGTGTAATGCTCCAAGTTAAGAATGGTGATAAGCAGAATAAATGCAGCCACTGCACAACTGAATTTAAACCTGCATCAGCAGAAATTTCATATGAATCCAGAAAAGCTACAATTGCTTAAAGCTACAATTTTTGTCCTCTCAGATGAGAACAGAGGGCCTTACTTTTGAAGAAACATGCTTAGGATTGGGTTACAAGGTTGCAATCCAATGGCACTGATTTGGACATAAGCACCACAAAAGACTGTAGGTGTAACTAAATAGACATAACTGCCTTATGTGACTTTCAGTCCCTACCAGATTTTGGCATACGATAGGCAAGACAGGAAAGAAAACTAGAACATCTCTGAAAAGAAGTCCTAAAAAGAGATGGACAATGCTTCATTTAGCATCACCTTGGAGATCTTTCTCAGACTGATGCTACTTCAGAGCTATTTCTAGATTCTCTTGAACAATTTTCTTATACATGGTTTATTTTTAAAAATCTTTCTGCATTACACAAGAGCTTTAGTCTTCTCATGAAAGCTTGCTGCAAGACAGGGTTGTAAAGCAAGTTGCCTGAGGTTAGCTAGGATTGAGCAGCAACCCTTTCACTCTGAACACGGTGGAACAGGTAATCAAGAAAAGTCAGTCCTGATTTTTAGAATAGTTCATCTTTTATTTTCCCAACTATAGTGGCCATTTGTTTGTTTAAGAAGTAGGAAGTCAAATGAAACTCTGATTCTGATTTTTGTTGAAATAGTCATTTTACTCTCAGAAATATCTGTCTTCAGTTAGGATCTAAAGTTCTAGAAAATTTTATATAGCTGGACTATAAACTTCAAATCAAGACCGAACTTCAATTTTGAGATGCTCTGATAATCATGCTTTTCTTTTGACTGTTTCCTTGTTCATGCTCACACTAAGAAATTTTCAGCCTCCAGCCATTGTTATGCTGATCTTTTATGTCATATGTTAGCAGCCATTAGAAAATTCTCCTACGAAGCTTTGTAGATGGCTTATTCCTTATGGTCTCTGCTTGAATGGTAGAGGAAAAAACCTTCTATATTAAGCTGGTTAACAGGAAAGCCCAGCATTACCTTGATGTTGCCAACATATGTGGGTCAGACCCGTTTCCACACAGGCTAATTGCCTCCTGATCTAGGCCAGCCACCTTCCCAAGAGGCCCAGAGAACATTAAAAGGTAATTAGATATTTATAAAGGACATGGAAGTAGCCTCTCCCCAAGATGATGAATTAGCTCTGAGGCATTATCTAATTCTTAGCCATCTGAAATGAAAAGACAACCCACTGAGAGATCAACCTTTTCAAATGAAGTCTGAGGTAACGAAGAACTAACAATAGTCGGGACTGAAGAGAAAATTGAGATTATTGTGTTAAATGAAGAGCCAAGAATAATGCCAACAAGAGGAGATTACTACAGGAACAAGATGGTGAGGCTGTCAAGTCTACTAAGACATATAAGATATATAGAAAAATCCTAAGACACAAAAAATGCCTAAATATCATATATCAGTATACTACAAATAAGAAGAATTTGTGTGTTTCAGTATTTTTTTCTATCACATTTGTTAGTGGAATTGCCCGCCCCTCTCCCCGCAATATCTTCCCTATTCACTTTGGTATTCAGAGGTTGGTGCTGGGGTTTTTCACCCATCACTGCAATATAGTAATTACTACAGGATCCATCAATGATAATGACATAAAAGCTGCCTCTGTGTGAAGGGACCCCAAACGCAAGGCTGCTGTGCATATAAGTGTATTATGTGGTAGGACTCAGAATGCCTTTATTCACTAGCTTGACGTTTCTAGTTAGTGTAACCATACATCATTATTGGGGATGGATGAATCTGTCAGCTTCATCTTCTCTCACATTCAGTTTAAAACAGCAACTCAAGTTCTTTTTTTCAGATTGGTTAAGAAATATAAAATTGGGAATCTTCTTATAAAAATATGAACCATCGAACGATTAAACATTGGGCCAAATTGAGTAGGCACTGGTATTCCCAGTAATGGGAGAATACACACTGTATAGAGTGGAGTGATTAAAGATAAGGGACTTTTCAGGCAGAAAAGAGGTGACAACCACAGTTTATCAACACAAGCATGGCAGAATAGCCAAGGAATCAAAGTCAAAGGTTTATCTTCAAAGTACTGAAAACGTTTTGCCAGGAGAGACTAATCAACGGCTTTGTTTTTTCCCCTCATATAGACCTTCTGTTAAACCTTTTAAAATAAAACTGTCAATTTCAAGAAGTAGTATATTTAGAAAGTACCAAAAAAAACCTCTCACCTATCCCTAATAATTATCCTCCTATACAATAAAAGTAATTAAGAGTTGCACTGCAAACATAAATAAGTACATTAAAATGACATGATCTATGTGGTATATATATGAGATTCATGTTAGTTGAGCTATGTATTAAGTGAATCACATGCTCCAGATAATTTAATGTTTTTAATTTTGAATGAAGGCTACAAATAGCGTTGTCAACATTGCTGGCAGTTTCTGTGCTCATTCTAAATCTAGAAGTGTCCTTTGAGCAAAATGGAAAGAGTTCTTACCTGTACAAAAGATGACAGCTGATGAAAAGAAGACAAGCTCCACAGAGAATCCCATTATGGGCTACAGGCATGTATTACAGATCCACAAATGGAATAGATGAGAAGAATATTCTAGAAAGACAGAGAAAAGTGTATTCACAATTTAGGAGAAGGATTTCACATGACACTACATTTGTATGTTTCCTATCACCAATACTGTTTTTGTGTGTGTGTCATGAGCGATTTGAGAAACTGCAAATTGGTTCTGGTGTGAGATAAATTGGCCATCTGCAAGGACATTGCACTGGGGATGCCCAGATGTTTGATGTTTTACCATCCATGTGGGAGGCTTCTCTCATGTCCCTGCATGGAGAACTGCAGCTGACAGAGGGAACTCGGATTCATACTTTCTCCTCAGATTTCAACTTCCGACCTGTCGGTCTACAATCCTGCCTGCCCATTGTGTCACTGGGGGCTCCCAATACAGTACAACTCCAGTATCCATAGGACCAGTGCTCACAATTTCACTTATTCATATTTCAAAAATATGTTCTTTCTGGGCATTGAGAACACTGGAAGATGACCATAGAATTGTGCTGGAGGACCTAAAAATATTTAAAAGGTGTCCCAAATGGCTATAGAAAACATTACCAGAGGTCTTCCAGTATGACTCTATGGTATATTCTACCAGAAGATGACCATGCGGTTGTGCTGGAAAATGTAGAAATGCTAGACAGTTATTCTTTCTAGGCATTTTCTAGGTTCCCCAGCATGGTTCTATGGTAGTGGTTCTCAACCCATGGGTCCCCAGGTATTTTGGCTTACAACTCCCAGAAATCCCAGCCAGTGTACCAGTTTTTAGGATTTCTGGGAGCTGAAGGCCAACAGGTTGAGAACCACTCTTCTATTGTATGCTTCCATCAGAAGTAATTTATTTCTACAGGGTTCACTATTATTTGTAATTTCACACTTCCATGGTATGTCCAGTAACATATCTCCTGTGTATATAGTGTTCGTATTGTATTTGCAGTATGGTATAATTTTGATGTAGAGTGCCTGAAAGAAACAGATAATGGAAAGAAACCAGGGATTCATGGTGTAGCTGAGCATTGGACTACATCTCTGAGACCAGGGTCTGAATCCTTGCTCAGTCATGGAAACCTAAGGGGTGCCCTTGGACAAGCCACACCTATCATGTGGGGTTTTTTATTATTCAGAGATGGTTTGCCTCTGCCTTTCCCTGAGGCTGAGATAGAGTGATTTACCCACAGATGATTCAAAGCCTAGTCTCTTGAATTACAGTCCAACACTCCAACCGCTATTCCACATGAGACATCACCTAAGTATTACCCATTGCCAAATTTGGAAATGACCAAAAACAGGTTTCTCACATTAAAGATGAATATTGAAAAAGGCATGGCACTGGGGTTTTAACTGGGCTAGAACTCATCCTAGTTTAAACTGCTATGAAGTAATACAACAAACACCCCTCTTTAAAAATGGTAAGAAATTATTGTAATCTAGATCCATTTTGACCTTTCTCTATAGACGTGTCATGTTGATGCTTTTTTCATTACTTTTCATAGCTTTCCAATCTCTTTTCTCTGAGTGGGTGGATCCAGCTGCTTCTATTTTTTCATTCAGGCAATCTTTGTAGCCAAACAACAAAATCTTTCAAAGGATACGATGATCCCTTCCTGAAATTATTATGACTTGTTTGGACAGGACATTTTTTCTCTCTCTCTCCCCCCCCCCCCATTTAAAAAAGCCTGAGCAGCCCCAGGAACCCTCACCAAAACCTGTACATGTTTCAACCCTTAGAAGGAAAGGAGCCCTTTTTGAAATCTAAGAAGAGCGCTATGGTATGCTTGCTATCAACAGAGACTAGTCCTGCAAAATATGTAGAAAAATATAAAGTTTTTCTGAATATGAACAAAAAACCTTCCTTTTCACAGATTAGATACAAACCAGAATGATACTGCAATAGCCCCCCCCCTCTATTCTGCTTTGGTCAGACCTCACCTGGAATACTGTGTCCAGTTCTGGGCACCATAATTCAACAAGGATATTGACAAGCAAGAATATGTCCAGAGAAGTGTGATCAAAGTGATCAAAGGTTTGGAAGTCAAGTCTAGAGAGCTGGGAATGTTTAGCTTGGAGAAGAGAAGGTTGAGATAAGGTATGATAGCCATGTTTAAACATTTGAAAAGATGTCATACTGCAGAGGGAGCAAGCATTTTTTATACTGCTCTGAAGACTGGGATATGGAGAAACAGATTCAAACTGCATGAAAATAAATTAATCTAAAATTAAGATTTTCCAGGGGGTAGGTGCTGTTTGACAATGAAATACGGTGCTTCAGAGTGTGATGGGGTCTCCTTCTGTGGAGGTTTCTAAACAAAGCCTAGATGGCCATCTGTTAGGAGTGCTTTGTGTCTTCCTGCATGGCAGGGGGCTGGATTGGATGGTCCCTGTGGTCTCTTCCAACTATGATTCTATGAATTATTGAACAATCACATTATGTTATGAACACAAGATACATAGAAAAAGAAAGTAAGAAAGAACTCATATATTCTCAATGGAAATATTGATATACTGCACACAAATACAGAATAAAAAAGCAAACATTTTGACTCATACACTGTCAATAAAAATACTGACAGAGTGCATACAGATGCAGAACAAACAAGTAGAGATTTTGAGCGTCATGTGTAAAATTATACTAAATTTGCACCATGGAGTCCATTTATTCTCTGGGCCTTTGTTGCCACGTCTGCCATGCATACCTGACAAGAAAGGCTTCCTGAGTCAGCACTGTTTGGCATTTGGTCTCCCACCTGCATAGCATTTCCTCACTCAGCGGTTTTTCTCTTGTGAGTGCAGCTAAACAAAATAATGGTCATAATACAGAGGAAAACAAATCTGAAAGTGAAATAGAAGCAGGCAATTGTAGGATTCAGATTTTTTTCTTGTATGATCTTGAACAGGTCAATTTTCAGAACTCCTGGTTTATATGTTATGATACATTATCACCATGATTTTCATAGTCTTTTGTATTAAACTATGTCTATAAATCAGTATTGAGCTATGAACAACAGACCAGGAATTAGTTCCTTCATAATTTCTGCTCACCACTTTCGCATTTGACATCCTTGGGTTACACAATGGAAAGATGTTACCACATGGTGACACTTCCTTGGGATTTGCAAAGTTGATCACCTGAGTATTGCTGCTTCTTATATTCACATGACAACAATTCAGAATGCAGACCCATTTTAAAGAGAAAGGGAGAGTCATACACTACACTGTTAAATCAAAACATCCAGACTTTATCCTAGATGCATGAGTGCTTATTGGCTTACAACCAAGAAAGGTAGAGTTATATAGCTTATGAATGGCTGACCAAGAATAGGATACAGCATTGAAATGCAGCATATTTATGAGTTTAATGAACGCACAGATTTGAATTTACAGCTTCCCTAGCTCTTTCCAATTGAAAAGAAAAGAAAACCTGAACAATGCAGAAAAATCTCTTTTCCTTACCCTATATTGGCTCAGCAGGTACACACAGCATGAAAACAGCTACATGTTTAGTTAGCCAAATTAGCAGATTTGTCTCAGTGACACAGGAGGTACATGACAGAACTGGGGAGGAGGGCACTGCTGATTATAACTCATCTCTCTTCTGCCCCTTCTTTGCTTGATAAAATATAGATGCCAGGTTTGAATGAATAAGAGATTCACCCTTTCTCTCCCAGGGCATTTAGTCTAAACAAACAATACTGTCAGGGGAATAAGTGGCGGAATAGACAATCGCATCATAAAAGAATAGCAGGAGAAATGCAATAATCCTTGATGCATTGACTCTACTGTCCTTTACTGACCAACCATGGAATAAACAGACAGAGGGCCCTTCCAGACAGGCCCTATATTCCAGGATCTGATCCCAGGTTTTCTGCATTGAACTGGATTATGAGTCCCCACTGCCAGATAACCTGGGATAAACAGAAAACCTAAGATCAGATCCTGGGATATAGGGCCTGTCTGGAAGGCCTCAGAGAGAACTGAATTGAAAGAACAACTTAATTAAATCTAGAACCTATTTAAACCAAGTCAAACCTAGGATGGATCTACACAGAAACATATTCTTCAGTTTCCATGAAAGTGGGATGATAAATTGGTCCCACACCGACTCCTCCAGCTTCCATGAAGTTGGGAAGGAATCCTGACTGTCCAGTTTGACACTATTAGACAGCCAGCTTATTTGTCTTACCCCTCCTTCCATGTTGCTTGTTGCACCATTCATGTTACAACAAGCGCCTCACCTTTCCATTGTTATGCACCCTGATGTTAGCCAGGGCAACGAAACACTGAAGAATTGGAGAAAGGAGGAACTCCAGCTGATGTCAAGCATATGGCAGTGGAAAAGTAGGACCCCTGCGCTGGCTGGAGACAGCCACAACACAGAGGGAAGGAAAGGGAAAAGGACTGCCATGTTGCGTACCCAGGCAGCCAGAGCCTGGAAAATGCAGGATGGCCATGGAGAAAGTTGAGGATAGCTTCTTTTGGGATCTAAGTCAGGGGAAAGAACTAACTTTGGCAATTGTGTTAACCCAGATCAGCCCTGTGCGGTGTTTGGCTGCTGCAGGACTGATCTACATCTACACCAACCTAAGTGGTAAGTGTAGATGGGGCCCAAAAAGGTATAAAAGAGGGAGCACCCTAGAATGGGATTAGCAAGGACAAGTGAAACCCCATGACTTTCTCATCAGCCTTCCTCTGGGTGAACCACCTGAACCTTGAGGACAATCCAATAGCTGGATTCCTTTGCATCTGGCCAACTACTCAGGCAACCCCAAGTCAAATGTCTTAAGTAAGGGCTAAGCCCTTAAGGTCAGCCCCAAAGTGACTATCCCCCCCCCCCCCCCAGATAACAGGACCTAAAGAGGAAGGTTCAAAGTCCATCCCTTCACCAAAAGGGTGCTAAGGTGTTCTGCTCATCCCCACCTGCCATGGACAAGGGGTGAGTTTGTCAGGGTTATTAGTTTCTCTTTTCCTTGTACTCCTCTTAATACTGGAAGCTACAGAGAGGCAAATGGGGACCTAGAGGACATGTAATTATTAGTCTGTAC